CATGTGACTAAAATTGAAATTTTCTCTATCAACATTTAATTTTTACAAGACCATATGACTTTATTATAATTAAGATAATAATGGCAAGGGCAGATCTAGAGGGGCAGTAGAGTTAGTTTCCCTCCACCCTACCCTACTATTGTTTTTTTTTTAAAGGAGCCTGTACGGCATTTATTCAAAATATGCAGAAATAGATGCTGGTGGATCATAGTCTGAGTACATACTAGTTGACTGAGTAATTGCAGTAGATGCTAGAGTATGAGTTAAATAATTATCTAGTCTAGGAACATAATGAAGTAAACAATAATCAAAAGATAATATACTAGTCCTGCAACTATCAATGGCATAACCCAAGTACGATCTTGACGAGTGTGTCATAGATGATAAATATTGTTGAAGCACCAAACAATCCGTGAAGAGCTCGATAGACTTTATTCCGCGACTTCTTAGCCACGACAAAACTTCCTTGCACGCAAAGGCCTCCGCCATTAGAGCCGAAAAACAGTCTATCATAGGGGCAGTCATAGCCGAAACATAATGTCCTTGCCAATTTAGAATAATGGCTCCCACCGCTGCTTTGTTTGTCTGTGGGTCGTACGCCGCATCGAAGTAACATTGATCCCTCATGTATTGCGTGGCTTGGTGTACCATGTTCGGCGTTGGCAGTTGTGGTGTAGTCGGCACAACAATAGTATTGGTTGTTGCCGGACCGTCGTAGCAGTGTGGCTATCCACCACGGGAGCAGTCCGGCTGCTTGATACCGCGGAGGTGGCCGGCGGACGCAGACCGGGATGGGCTACTTTCCAAGCATTCACAGCTGATGATGCCATTGCAATTATTTTCCGAGGACTGGGCAAGGTCGCATCCCATACATCCCCATTCCTTGCACGCCAAATATAATATAAAAGTGCCACTGCATAAATAATTCCATCATTATCTAAAATATTCATCAAATCATTAAACCAATCACTGAAAATATTTGTGACACTATTGGGGATTGGAAGGTGGGATTGTGCCCAAATGTTTGTCGAATAATCACATGTGATCAAAGAATGCACAATATCTTCATGCCCAATCCCACACATGGCACATGTTGGATCAATATCAACTCTCTTTATAAGTAGGTTCTTTGTAGTGGGCAAAATATCATTTAGAGCTCTCCACAAAAATGTTTTCCACTTTGGGGGGGCTTTAAGCTTCCATAATATTTTCCATTTATCAAAGGTTCCAACCGCTTGGGTGTAGTTACCTACTATTGTTCTATAGCCACTTTTAACCGAATATTCTCCTTTTGGGTCCCCATACCAATACCACAAATCCTCATAATCTGGTGACACAGGTATTTTTAAAATTCGCTCTACATCCTCAGGGTCAAAAATATCAGTTAGAATATCCTGATCCCAGGTTCCTGTCTGTTGATCCATCAGTCCCATCACCTTTGCCTGTGCCAATTGGGGTGGTTTTTCTGTTAATATTTTCGGCTGACTCACATCTTGCAACCATGGATGGTCCCAAATCAAAGTTGATTTGCCATCCCCAATCCTGTGTCTAACCCCTCCACAAATCAAATCTTGTGCCGCCATAATACTTCGCCAACAAAAACTTGGGTTATTTCCCAAGCATGCCTCATAGAAAGAATTAGTGCAATAGTACCTGGCTTTATAAACTCTTGAAACCAATGATTGTGGCTATGTCAGAAAGCGCCACGCTTGCTTGCCCAACATTGCAAGGTTAAAGGCTCGTAACTCTTTGAATCTCAATCCTACATATTCTTTTGGGATACACAGTTTATCCCAAGCTTTCCAATGAATACCCTGATCTCGATCTCCACCAGTATCGATTCATGGTTCGCTCAATGGCAGTGCACAGAGTCGTAAGGAGTAGAAAAATGCTCATCGAAAAGGTAGGCATAGACTGAGCCACACTTTTCAATAAAACTTCTTTTCCTGCCTGTGACAAAAGTTTCTTATTCCACGAGTTAATCCTCTGCCTTATCTTATCCTCAATATAAGAGAACGCCACATTTCTATTCCTGCCCACAAATGATGGAAGCCCCAAATACTTTCTAAAATTCTGAGCCTGCACAACTCCCAATATATCGGCAATCTCCTCCCTTATTTCACCTCGTATATTTTTACTATAACAAATATTCGATTTGTGATAGTTAACTGCCTGGCCAGACATCTTTTCATATTCTGACAAACAACATTTAACCACACCCGCCTCTTGAATATTTGCTTTGAAAAAGAGCAGACTATCATCAACAAAGAATAAGTGGGTAATGGAGGGGGCTCCTCTAGCCACTCTACAGCCATGTATCTCTCCCTTTGCCTGTGCCTATTTTAATAATATTGAAAGCCCTTCAGCACAAATAATGAACAAATAAGGTGACAGAGGATCACCTTGCCTTAAACCACGAGTCGGGGTTATTTGATCAGTCCTTGAACCATTTACCAGTACACTGTAAGACACAGTGGTTACACACATCATTAATAGCTTTATCCATCTTTCATCAAATCCCAGCGCCCTTAGCATCTTTTGCAAAAAAGACCATTCCATACGGTCGTAAGCCTTAGCCATATCCAGCTTTAAAGCCCCCAACCTGTTAGTCCACATTGCTTCCTGTTCAAATAATGGCCAACTTCCGCAGCTATTAAGATATTATCTGTAATTAGCCTTCCAGATGTAAATGCACTCTGGGACTCAGATATAACATTCTCCATTAGTGGTTTCATCCTGGCTGTAATCATCTTCGTCATAATTCTGTAAACGACATTACTCAAAGCAATTGGCCTATAATTAGAAACCATTTTCGGGGTTTTCTTCTTGGGGATCAAAGTAATGTTTGTTTCATTCAATTTATCAGGCATTGAGCAAGTATTCAGACAATTCATAATATAAGAAGAAACATCAGTACCCACTACATCCCAAAAGTGCTGGTAAAACCCAAGGTTCATTACCATCCGGGCCTGGTGCTTTATCAGGATACATTGAAAACAATGCAGATTTAACCTCACTCTCTTCAAATGGGTGCAATAAACTCTCATTCTGTGTGCCTGTTACACATGATTGTATACTCCCAAAGAAATCATCATTAACAGTAGGAGAACTCGAGTTAAAAATACCACGATAATAATCCAAGATTACATTCCTCATGGCATCCCCCTCAATCCAATCCCCATCATTATTCATAACTTTAGTAATAGCATTCTACCCTACTATTGTTAGTATTATTGATATTATTATTGTTTTAGCATATGTTTTTATTATATGGTATTAGGTGTAGTTGACTTGGTGTGGCCTAGTTAATAGGAGTAGTTTAAGTTTAGTTACAGATATACTTTGTATCACAATTCTATCGTAACTGAATCAATTGAATTCTCTAATCTGGTATCAGTCAGGTATCGGTTCTCTCCCCTCTCCGCAAATTATTCCCTCTCTCACCCGTAACCTCCACCGGCCATATTCCCTTCCACCTCCGACCGCGCCATGTCGTCAAGCTCATCCGACCGCACTGCCTCCGCCACCGGCAGTCCGTCTCCGGATAGGAGTAGTTTCAGTTTAGTTACAGATATACTTTGTATCACAATTCTATCGTAACTGAATCAATTGAATTCTCTAATCACTATATATGTGTATATTTATGCATACTAGTTTTATACGTGTATTGCGCGATTGATTTAATGTTCAATGTATATCAATGCGACATTATATATGAAACGTTCATTATAATTAGCATTCAAATTAATCTTTAATATACACTTTTCTAAAAACAATTATCCAAATACTTATTGTAGTTGACGTGGTATTAAGTAGTAGATACTACTTTTAGTTTGAATTACTCTAAGGCTATGTTTGACAAATCTAGATGAAAAGGTAGCTGAAGGCTGAAAAGTAGCTTTGAAAAGTTATAAGTTAGAAGCTGAAAACTAAAGAGCTGTTAAGCTAGCTAATTATGCTTAGAAGTGTTTGGTAAAATTTGCTTTTTGATAAGTTGATAAATGTAAAAAGACTAAAAAGGATATCTTCATAAAATAACTTAGCTTCTATGTGCAATTTTCCCTTTGATGATAGCTTCAAACTCTTCTTTAATCTCTTTCCATTTCATTAACTCACGTCCATGCTTTCGAATATATTTGATACAAATCTCACAAAAAAGCACCACGTATTCGTTGGTCCATTTAGAATTCTCTACATCCATATTATCATTTGTTGAAGCCATATTGTTAAATTAGAAATAACAACAACAACAACAACAACAACAACAACAATAACGATAATAATAATAATAATAATAATAAGCTAAAGTTGCAATTTAGGAAAATATTGACGTCAGATTTCACAAGCATTTCTTCTTATTAAAGAGGATTCTAAAACATCACAAAAGAAGCTAAACAGAAATAACACTTGAGCTCAAGGGAGAATAATATTTAAAACAAAAAAAAAAACAAAAAAAAAAACCCAATATCAATAGAGACCAATTCCTTTCAAGTTTAAAGCATATGATACACATACTAAGTGGCTTGTGGTCTGATCTACTAGTACTCGGTTTCTCCCCTTAGTGGGATGTGAAAGGTTCAAACCTCACTTAAGGCAAGTAGTGTGTATATAAGGTATCCCCTTCTTATAATAAAAAAATGATAAAATTAGCTTTTTGATAAGTTGATAAATGTAAAAAAAAAAAAAAAAAAAAAAAAAAAAAAAGGGACATCTTCATAAAATTTAAATTAGTTTGTTTACATAATATTAAAATTTAACATTTTGTCTTTAAAAAATTTACAATTTAAAATAAAACTATTAGCATAATCATGATCTAGTAGCATCCCATAATGAAGTAGCAATATTGTTGCGAATCTCCTTCATATAATAATATTAATAATAATAATAATAATATTTGCGGATAAAAGGGAAGAGAAAAAGGTTTTAACATCAGATGTTATCATAATCGCCTCCATTAAGGCTCAAACTCACTACCTCCTACATAGGGGAGTAACTTGGTACTAGTGGATCACAAAGTCCTCAAAGGTAAGTTGCGGTGGAAACCTCCTAATGGCATGGTTAAAATCAATATTGATGGCTCGGTGGATCTTCATACCAACAAGACAAGTTGCGGTAGATGAGAGTGGAACAGTTTCAATCAATTTTAAAGATTTAGAACCCGATGGAATTACTGCATGACCCACACTGGAGATATCCAAACCTGCGCCATTGCCCATTCTTAACACATCATCTCCGTGATAATCTTCAGATTGCGAAAGCAGCCCGGGATCCGGGGTGGCGTGAGTTGTGGCCCCAGTATCCGGTAGCCACGCCGTGGCTTGATTGTGGGAACCGCCATCCGCCGTGACTGCCATGTGTGCCTGCGATGGAGGTGGCTCCGAGTAGCGGCGATGAAAATAAGCCGCCGAATGGCCTTGGGCTCGGCATATCTGGCAGCGAACGGGACCACGACCATTTCCGCGTCCACGGCCACCTCGGCCATTGCCTCCGCCGCGGCCTCCTGCTCCGCGACTGCCGCCGCCGCGCTGGCCACTACGCTGGTTCCCATCTCCATGATTTCGGCGGCCAGAGCCTGCATACATCGCCACTGGATCGCCGGTCGCTGGAGTGGGAAAATCATCGGCATGAATAAACTGTTGCGCCTGTAGACAGTCCGCAAGCTGGGGAATCGTCATGGGTGTGCCGTTGACTGCCAAGGAAGCAGCCATGGATCGGAATTCCGGGCGTAACCCCCGGAACACATATAGATTCTGTTCCGAGAGGGTCATAGGACGGCCGGCGAGCGCTAGATCCTCCACGATGTGTTGCGCACGGCCCAAATATTCCGGCATGGACATGTCTCCCTACCTCAACGCCTGAAATTGCCCCATGAGGTTCAGACAGCGCACCTGCGATGAGGATCCGAGCGCCGTCTCCGCCGCGAGCCATACGCCACGCGACCTGGTCTGCCCGAGCGTTAGGTACATTACCTCCTCGGAGATGGAAGAGATGAGAAGGGAGAGAATTGAGGCATCTTGCTCCAGCCACGCCTCATAGGCCGGATTAGGAGTCACAGACGCAGTGTCTATCGCAGCTTCGCCGGTGGAAGTGTCGATCACCGGTGACGGGCACGGACGGGAGCCGTCGATGAACCCGAGCAAACGCTGCCCACGGAGGAACGGGATGATTTGGGTACGCCAGTATAGGTAATTTCTGTGGGTTAATTTGAGTGGCACAAAATGGTGTGCACTCGGTAAGGAATTCGGGGGATTAGGGGAGGAAACGGAGGTGGTGGTGATGGTTCTCTCTGAACTCTGCGACATGGTCGAAAAAAGAGGAGGAGAGAGAATAAGATTCTAGGATTCCTATTGGCTAACTGATACCAGATGAGAGTGGAACAGTTTCAATCAATTCATAACAGAACGGGAGAATACAAATATAGACTTAAGAGAGAGAGCTAACAACTAGGCTAAAGACTAGATCTCTCAGTAAGTCAATAACAACATTATTATAAACTATACAATAAAAGATATATAAAATATATGTCTAACACGGTAGAGTAATAAGAGAGAGCTCCGGAAATTGGCTGAGTGGATTCATGTATAACATTGGTGTATGCTCCCCCCTAGAAACTGAAACCTGGGGATTACTTAAAGGTATACAGTTGGCAAAACACCTCAATCTCAAGAAGATTATATTTGAGACGGATTCGAAGGAACTGTCGGAGAGCTTAACATGCACTCAACAAAAATCTAGCATCTGCCACAATTTTCTTGTTGCGTATAACCAGGAGGCTGGGAGGATTGATGAATGGAGGATCTCCCTAATTTGCCGTGAGATTAATCGCCCAGCTGATGCCTTAGCTGTCAAAGCTAAATCCTTACCAAGAGGAATACATGTGCTACAAGTTCCCCCGGATTGGATTTTAGACTTACTAAAAGATGATCTAGATGGCGTACCAACATGGCGCCAAATTCATGTAATCTAGCTACTAGGTTCTTTGGGTCTCCCCCTTCCTTTGATATATAAAAAGGAATTTAATTGGGAAGGGTAAATGATGTCATTTCTTTAAAATAATAAAGACAAAGATGGAAAAAAAAAATTAGGAAGCTACTAACTTATTTTGAGACGGTAGCGTTCCAAAATAAACTCTTATTTTAAGCTACGAGCTTATTTTCGAAACATTACCAAACAGAGCTTATAACTTATTAATAGCTTAAAATAAGCTATAAGCTCTGCCAAACGGACTCTAAGTTTTACTAATTCGCTTTTGGATAGATTTGCCATTGTCTTCATCGTCATTGATTGCCCGCTTCTTTTTTGTCGGTAGTGTCTAATGTGCAATTGGGTTACTTATGCTAGTTTTTAAAAAGAACAGATTTGGTCTAATTAATTTTATTACATTAAAAAAAAACATAGATGTATGGAATCCCTAAATCCTTCCAACAATGCATAAGCATAATGAAAATATTGAGTCTTGTTTTAAATAATCAAAAGAAGATTAATTAAATGAAAAAAAAAACTTAAAAACTAAATTTTTTAAAAAATAATACAAGAAAATGATTTTCAAGCTTCCTCATTTTTAATCTTTGATCTTTGAATGCTATATATATATAGGATTATATTCAAATACAAACAGTCCTTAAAATACAAACGTGTGGACTAATCTGGAGCATTCATTTTTTGGTATCAATGGCTATGATTTGATAATATTGTTTTTATGTTTCCCCTTTTTTATTTATGGCGTGTGTGTGTGTTTTTACTGATTTTATTTGGGTTAGGGGCAATTGGGGCATTTCATTTTATTCTCTCTCTACTTAGTTCACTAGCCCTTCGCTTCCCTCTCGCATCATGACCATTCGCTCCTCTTCAATCGTAGAAGGTGTTGGTTCGTTGTTTCCTCTCTTTCCACACAGATGGTAGTCACTGGTCACGATGGACGAGCCAACCTGCAACTGCATGTAGTTTTTGCCTATATTCATTGATCGGCTGCTCCTACTTTCACTTATAAGTGCACCTACTTTTGTCTGCAAGTGCATGTAGTTTTTGCCTACATTCATTGATCGGCTGCTCCTACTTTCACCTACATGTGCACCTACTTTCGTCTGCAAGTGCATGTAATTTTGCCTTGTTAACATTCATTGATCTAAGTTCGTTCTGTTTGGCATCGTTTTTATTCTTGCGGGGAGTTCAGCGGGTAGTAGTACTTGTGAAACCACTCGTAAACATTCATGCACCTAGGTGCAACTACTTATAACTATAGGTGCGGGCACTTAGTATTGATGCTCAGTGTAAATTTTAATTGCACCTATAATACATTTTACATGCATTTGTAATACATTTTACTTGTACTTCGATGTTCAATTATTTACGAAAATGCCACCGCATTTTTTTATTTAAATCAATGTTTCTCATCCATTAGATCTGGACACGTATATTCGCATCTGGGCGCTCCATCCACATCAGAGTGCATAAATTACCAATTTTTATCCTTCGACTTTCAATTGGACCATAAATGGTTCTTTGACTATTGATCTTTACCAATTTTCATCATCGACTTTCAATTTAACCATAAGTGATCCCTTGATTATTAATTTTTTTTTTTCAAATTTGGTCCTCTAGTTAAATATCATTTTAATAAACATTAAATTTAAGGGGATCAATAATGTAAACATTTTAATTCTTCACAATGATGAACTCAATGTATTAAATTTATGAACTATATTTGTCCATCTCAAAAACAAACTAATTTTTACATTATTATTCTTAAATTTAATGTTTATTAAATGGGTATTTAACTGAATGACCATATTTGGAAAAAAAAAAATCAATAGTCAAGGGACCATTTAGGGTCATATTGAAAGTCAATGACGAAAATTGATAAAAGATCAATAGTCAAGGGACCATTTATGGTTAATTGAAAGTCAAAGGATAAAAATTGTTAAGAGTTAATTACCGATTTGGTCCCTCGACTATGAGGATTTCACCAATATGTTCCTCGACTTTTAAAATTTCTCAATTTAGTCCCCGACTATGCCGTATTTACCCGAAATGATCTTCAGTGTAGTTTGCTGGTCAAACTAAAAGGGTAAATTGGAAATTTGAAAAAAACATTTTGTTCTTCCAACTCTCCCTTAGCCGGCCGTGTCTCACTCCGATGATACACTTACACCTCCGCCACCCTCATCTCTCCCCTCCGTCGGCGCCGTTGCCGGCCAATTTCCTCAATTTCGACGGCATTCAAGCGGCAGGTGACCAAATCGCCTGCTACAGAATTTAGGAATGTGTTAATACTCAATCCTCTGCCAAAATCCAGGCACTTCTCCTTCCTGATTCACAACCTCAACCCAAACCTTTTCCTCCAAATCCTATAGCAAATCCAGCTCCACCTTCACTCAAGCCGTACACGGCCTTGTTTGACGAACCGTGGTTGCATCCAAGGCCAGGAGTTTCCTGACTGGAGCATACACCAGCTTCAACATCTCTGAATAAAAAAAAGTTGATAAGGCTTCAACATCTCTGAATCACCAGGAGTTTCCCGACCGGAGCACACACTTGCATATATTTTCACTTCGTGGACCAAAGACGATCTAGAATCAACATCTGCATCATCACTCCATCCATGCTCCGCCGCTGCTGCACGGTGGAGGAAAACCAGCTGCTGACCATCACTCCACTAGAAGAACAGCCACCGCCATAGCTGCTCCACTGGAAAACTAGTGTCGTCGTTTCCTGCTAAGCGAGACAGGGAGAAGAGAAGGCCAGCTGCCATCGCCCACCTGCTGCGCCGGAGCTCGCTAGAGGCAAACTATCGCTGCCGACTAGAGAGAGAGAGAGAGAGAGAGAGAGAGAGAGAGAGAGAGAGAGAGAGAGAGGGGAAAAGGCCGCCCGAGAAGAGGAGTCCAAGGTCGTCGGCGGGGAAAACAGCAGTACCGACAATCAAGCTCGCATCTAGCCACCGCCATCCGCTATAGCTGTTTCGTGAGAAAAAAATTAAGGATCTTGTTGATCTGCTGCTGTCCAGCCCTTGCTCTGCTCACCGGAAGGAAGTCTCACTGGAGATCGCCAAGTCGTCTCTTCCGAAAGGGGGAGGGAAATGTCTGCTGGGATTTTGCGACCATGGATTTTGTGATTAGGGTTTGATATTTGGACAACCGAGAAGTGAAATAAAGTGAAATTACAAATCTATCCTCAGTTTTTTTTTTTTTGAATGCTACTAGCTCTATTACATTGTAGTATCTGTTCATATACTTTCTCAACCTACTGAAACACAGAGAGCTAATAACGCCTCCACCGAGGCTCGAACTTACAACCTTCCAAATGGAAGTCCAACCCGGATACCATTAGACCACATAGTCCTGGTAATCTATCCTCAGTTTATTTGTTTTAAAATCGATGATTTGACTATAGGACCAATTCGGGTAAAAAAAGCATAATTGGGGATCAAATTGAAAAATTTTGGAAGTCGATGACCAAATTGGTGAAATCCTCATAGCCAAGGGATCAAATCGGTAATTAACTCTTAACAAATCGGTAATAAATCTATTGTGTGTATAAAATGAAACTGATCTGAATACTAAAATAAAACGCATACTATGGTCCAGACGCTGCTACATGGACCATCATGGTCTACAGTACTTTGCGCATTTTTTTTTTTTTTTTTTTGGTAGAGTACTTCGCGCATATTTGATTGAAATATAAAAATACAAAAAAAAAAAAAAAAAAAAAAAAAACTACATCACTGATAATTAAAACTTTTAGATTGTTTAATTATTCATCGTGATTTTATTATTATTATTTTTTGGGTGTTTGTAGTTTGTACATCCTTAAATGCCGTCAACAACGTAACAATGAACGG